TACCACAAGTCCATCATACATACTTGCTAAGAGATGACAAGAACATGCAACCAATGTTTCATATACTCAGTTGTCATCTCACAGAACTGATAAGGAGCAAAATGAGAGAACTTTCTTTGATATGCTGTACTTCATATGGTCTCTATATACAAGGTGATCAAATGCAGATTCCAGAGAATCCAGATAGCCGAAGTCTGATGAGTCAAAATGTCCATGCTTTGGACTTTTGGTTGCTACTAACTTCGAAGCTGCTAATTGTAAGAACATTGAACTAGCAATAACAGATGCTGAAGCAAGAAAAAGCAAAATTGTACATTTAACTCATCCCTAAGAAAGAATTTTGAGGACTAAATCATTTGCTTTTGTATGAACCAAGACTCCATCCCAGATCGGGTTAGACATTCAGGAACAGGTTATAATATGTAAAAGCTATGCTTCTTCCACCTGATTCTCAGTTCTTTTCGCTAGCTTCTCATCCATATATCAAGAAAAAGAAAACTTTGCAAATGTGGTCATTGATAGTCACAGCAATTTTTTGAGATAAATAGAGTTAGAACAATCTTCATAGAAGAAGAATTTTGCAGTGTAGAGTCTGAGACCCTCCTCGTTGGAATAGACATGGCTCAATCAAGCAGAGCAAATTGAGGACACCTTCCATTTGATCGGTCAAGCCGAGAACCAAAGCTAACCAGCGCTAGCAGACCTCATAATGCGTGACAAATCCGCTCAATCATTCCATTTCCATTGTTGAACATAATCCATTGTAACTCTAATCAAACATGCTATGTGCAAAGTATAACCAACACAACAACAAAAACAAGAAAAGAAACCGCCAAAAATCAAATCTTTCTATAGCCTGCTGAATCCAATCGAACAGAACATTACCGGGGATTTCGGCAATTTGGGGCTCCGTGTAATGCCCATTACAAACAACCACCGCATCAAAAACCTCCTCTTCTTCTCAGCCGCCGCCATTTCTCATCCTCCACCTCACCTTCCACCTTCCGCCCTCCTCCACCATCCCAACCCCCACGATCTCCTCCTCGAACCTCACCATTTCTTCAAGCCCAAACTCCCTCGCGAAATACTCCAAGTACGCCAGCACCTCCTCGTGACCCGGATACCTCCTCCGGTCGCCCGACCCGTCCGCCCTCGCCAGGAACGGGTAGTCCCCGAACCCCATCGCCTCGCGGGGCAGGTTCGTGCGCAGGGACCTGTAGAGGCTCGAGCAGACCACGGCCCGTGCCGGGTCGGCCTCGGCGCCGGGCGTGTACACCCAGGTGCCGCCGGCGCGAGGCTCGCCCTCGAAGACCACGACCCTGTGGCCCTCGCGGCGAAACTCCCGGGCGGCGACGAGGCCGGCGGCCCCGGCGCCGATGACGGCCACGTGGCGGCGGCGGCGGCCACCATGGGGGGATCACAGCGGCGCAAACTTCGTCGCGCGCGAAGAAACGACAAACGAACGAGTGGCGACGAACGTATGGGCGCGAGGGAGAGCTCTTCCGGCGGCCGGGCAATCTCTTCGGGCCCACCAAATAAATGGAATAAAAAATTAATTAATTTTGATTTTTCCTTCCGTTTTTGGGGGGTGGCGAGGATGATCCGAGAAACTACCGCTGCATGGCATGCAGAGAGCCACGACACGTTTGTCTAGTTGGATCCACTCAGAAGCCGACACGTGGCAGCCTCTTGCAGCAGAAAATCTGAACTCCCCGCCCAGAAGAGATATCGAGAGAGAGAGAGAGTTTCTCCTTTCGTCCTTCCGATGCTTCTCTTTTCGCCTGCAGAGAGAGTGTTCGTCCTTCATCCTACCGCTTAGAGTAGCTCGAACGTCTCTGTTTTCGCTTAGAATCGGGGGCTTCTTCGTCTTCGCTCGACCGCAGCCTCGAAGACCTCCGTTTTCGCGAGGGCGGCAGCTCCTAAGACTGCCGCTTTTGGCTCAGAAGACCTCAATGAAGACCTCCTTGAAGCGGCTGGAGATGGCATACCCGATCCTGGACTCTTGATTTCCAGAGCTTTCGTGCTCTTTCGCGTCAATCCTGTTCTTAGCCGTTTGGCCGCAGAGGGAAGAAAGAAAATGCTCCCAAGATCAGAAAGACTTCAGAAGGGAAGTTGGCATTTCGTGTGGTCTTATGTAGGCGACCGAACCCTATCTCTATCCTATCATCTGTTGGATTTTGTCCGTGTAATGGTGTTCGACGTGAAAGACAGAGTATCGAGAAGCAGCAATGCGCGAAATGCGATTCGACGGCCGGCTTGCTGGTGATTTGTAGGGATTAAACGACTCCCTCTTTTTTTCGGTGTAGATTACTTGCTGACGATAATGGTGTTCATATAATTCCAGGGGTAGGCTCAAAAAGTTCTTCTCGGGCAACACGGGGATCATTTTTTAAGATTTGAAATCGAATTCACGTACCAAATTGTTAAAGTAATTAAATATTAAATCACCCATTCATTTAACGGCTTAAGCTTTTAGAACAGTTGGCAGTAATCCCGCGGATATCAAATCTAAAGAAAGTATAGGAACTAAGAAGGTGTCAGGTAATGACAATTTTGATGTCGAAATGTTCCCCGTAGGATTAACTATCATCTGCGAGTTATCTGCTGTTTGGATAGTAGGTACTTGTGAAGCGAATGATTTTGATTTGAATAAAGTGGAATCGGAAGTCATATGATTACAACAGGTAAAATCAAAGAACCATGAATTGGTAGTACCAGGAGTGACTGACAGAGCAGAAGTGCTAGGGACAAGAGAGCGAGAATCAAATGATGCGATGAACGGGGATTGTCGCGCGATCTAAAGTGCCTAGTTGAGACTTTGATCGCATGCCGAGCTCGTTATAGTGTGTCCCTTTTCGTATTCGATGGTCGATCTTACCTATAATCCGAAGGTTGACCATCATACACAAGCTTTGATTAGTACCGTACTCGAGATTTATTTTGAAAGCGAGACCGGAGTTTTGTGAAGAAAGTCACGTTTGTTTCCACGTGAATAGTTAAGCTAAAACTCCCTACGTAATTACGAGATTTATATATTGATTTAGCTTATTGAATTCGTAAAAAATAGTATCTACACCGTGAGCGGGAATTGTTTTTGTACACAAACAGCCTTATTCACCATTGATTTGAGCGTTATAACTATCCACTCTCCCAAATGGATGGTGCACGACCCCACTTGTGTAAAATATATTCTGCGCTAGTAGTGCTACAATGTATATTACGTTGTATTATAATCACTCGTAAATCCACCAGTAATTGGATGACAGAAAGCTTTCCTGTTTGGCACATTTCCTTTCAATTGAAACTTCAAGTATTGACAAACACAAGAGAGTGAAAGAGAGAGGTTGACATTGAATGGCTTGTGGAAACTGAAGATTTGGAGGGAAACAAGTGCTGGAGAAACAACAGCTGGGAGTGACCTGTGAAGGCTGTGGGGTGACCAAGAATCCCTAAATCTGGATCTTAGGGGCCTCAGATTGGACTGATAAATGGGACCCCAAGACCCACAAAAACGGTAGGCATGGCCCCCATCAAACCTGGAGAACACCACCTGGAAAATACAGAATTCCATCAGGCATCACCTCATCTCCCACTCTCCTTTTGTTTCTTTCCCCTGCCCCAATTAGGATTGGTTTTACGATATTAACCCGTGAGCCCGACCGATGTGGCAGACTGTTATTGATCGTTGAACACCACCGACCTACTTAAAAACCCGTTTGTCCGGCCTCCAATCACGGTCACGTAGTACGCCCATTATGTAAACCGGTCCAGTCTTAATACGACTAGCCGGGGCACGGCGCCCTGCTTGCCCCCCAACATGACAACATGGGAAAACCCTAGAGGGCATTCAATTTTTTTGGCTCCTCCTGTCCTCTCCTTCCTCCTCACACACCTGGTTCTCGGCCGAGCCAGAAGAAACAGAGCCTTTGAAGGCCTGCCCCCCAGCGAGGCGGAGAAGAAGAGGACAGAACCCCCTGTGCCTGCACACACTTCTGGTGGATGTGATTCAATTCAGGTGCGAACTTGGGAAAACAAGGAAAACATTAGATAAAATCTACGGTTGGGGGATGTTTCTGCTGCTTTATTTTCCTTCTTGGGGGTGATTTTCTTCCTTTAATTGTGTTGGTTTTGGTGGTTCATATCGTATGTATTTTGTTCTTCAAAAATAATGGTTGAGATTTGGTCATTCCTAATTTATTTTTTTGTCACGTTGGGGTGTTGAGGGTGTCGGAAAATAATTATGTATACGAAACAAGCTGCCACCAACTTAAATTTAAAGAAGCATCTGTATATTTTTCCAATTACTTCTATTTTAAATGGATTTCGGTCGAGATTATGGCTCCGTTTGTTTCGCGCAAAATGCACGAATTGGAAAATATCTTCCTAAAAGCGATTGCTTCTATCACTTGGAAGTATATGTCGATGTAAAACATTTTTATTACCGACAATAATTTATGTCTAAACTTTTTCATGAACAACGAAAATATCTTTCGTTTATTTATTTTTATAAGCGGTACGAGCTATTATTTTTAGGAAAGTATTTTCCAAAATTTTCATTAGCCGCGAAACAAACGAAATTTATATATTGAGAGAGGTGCTTGGTCACGAAGCTAAGCAACGCATTAGCAGCGAGGCAAGATGAATATTTAGACGAGTATTATTATATACATAAAGCAGCTAATCCTGGAGCAACAAGCACCAGTGGTCTAGTGGTAGAATAGTACCCTGCCACGGTACAGACCCGGGTTCGATTCCCGGCTGGTGCATCCGTGGAGCTGTGACGACTTGCGATCGTGATCGTTGATTCCATCACGCCATCTGATCCATCAGTGGATCATCTCTATCGCAAACCCCTGAGCTTCCTTCTTTTACCTTTTTTGCCCTCTCTTTTCTCGAATTCTTTTTAAAAATTTTACTACCTTTTGGAGATCAAAGGACTTCTAACATCTTCGAAGAAGTTCACCAAAAACCATCTCAATGTCAACAAAAATGGGCGAGAGTTCTCAGAAGATGTTGCTTTGTTTATTGTTGTTGGCTTTGCTGTCATCACCAATACAATATTCTCTTAGGGGAAAAAACGAATGGTGAGATCCATAGGTGGTCTACTTTAGGCACCCTTAATTATTAGGAGACACAATTTACAACATCATCGATGCGAAGGGTATTTGGCGAAGTCCTCGTGTGCTTGTGAAATCAATGTCTTGTCTCCTGCCTCGTCGCGGTACGCCTCGGGTCGGGCCTGCCTCTTCCTCGAGCTCTCCGAGTACATTTTCTTCCTCCATTCTTCAGACGGTTGAGATCCGGTCTGCACCGCGAGCCAATCGTTGTACTCAAACTGTAGATGAAGAAGGAGGAGAAGAAGGTGCAGCTTAGTCAAAATGGTATGAACTTTATCAATGTCAAAACATGATTCTTTAACAATCGTCCAAGCTGTTGAAATTTGAAAATTTCTCCATGTATTTCCGCAATGCTTACCTGAGAGTTGGCTAAGTTATGAGTATATCGCTTTGGTACGCCGGAAGCTTCAAGTTGGGAGTAAAAATCTTTTACATCTTGCATCATCTCCTCCTCCGATGGAAGAGCAATTCTACCGGACAGAGCGCCGGCTATCCACTTGCTCTGATATTCAAACTGGGGAAATGGTGCGACCTGGAAATTCATGTGAAGAGAATAATTTACAAAGATTAAGAAAAAGAGTCCAAGAAATCAGCTACATGAATCGAGAATGATCGGTGCTTGGTATAAACCTTCCATGGCAATCCTACAAATGATAGCCAAGGCGCCAGAAGTGGTGGGAAAACGTGCTTGTATAATGGTCCGACACGATTGTCATCTACGGACACAATTCCGTTGGTTTCCAGAAAAGGGAAATGATATTTGTACCTGAAGAAATGAAACCAGCATTAATCGCTTTGTTTTCCATCACATTCAATAGCATCAGTGTCAGTTTGCCTTTGTGTCGAAACTTAAGTGGGATCGGTGAGAGAATACCCGGTACAATGTAGGACGATATCAGCGTGTACAGAACTCCCGTCGAGGAAAGTCACTTTACCATCTTCATGGGCCTTATCAATCTGCACTTAGTTCAGCTTCATTAACATACTGAACAGACTCCTCGAGGACCGAGTTTCACAAATATGTCGTGATGAAAGACGGAGGATCAATTATTACCACGGGATGAAGCCACATATTATCGTAGCCGGGTTGAATTCCAAGAGTCTCGACTTCGTATGATCTAGATGTCACATGAACTTCTTTGGCGACCTTGGCAATGTCCCGAGAGATGTCCACGGCACTTGCAGCACTCCCTATCAAAACAACAACCTGTTGAGAAGCAAAAAAATAGTTCTGTTTAGCATGCAATTTGACAATCTTGATCAGGAAAAAAAAATGCGCTGAAAAGAAATGGGGAGGCGAGAAAGAAAATCACCTAGCTTTCTAGATATCATACACAAAAAAATGCCAGATTGTTCCAAACTCTTGAATAGAGCAGTTCACTCAATCGGGGAGGAGTTAGCTTTATGAAAGATTACTTATTCTGAGCAGTCTCAGTTCACCCCATCATGATGAACCATGAATGACTCAAAATCTTTGCCCCCTCAGTCTTTATGCACCCCTAATCGACATTAACCGCTCACATGATAAGTAGATCAAATACTAGTGCATATTCGAAACTATTATAGACAGAAGCGACTGTAATATATGCGCGTGATAGCGATACGAAGAAAAATTAAGCCAGTAAACAGAGGACAAGCTGCACTGCAAGAGTAGGTGAAGAAGAAACCTGAAACGTACTAGATCCTGAAATGGCTCGGGTGTACGATAGTTGTGGCTGTGCATTTGCTTCCCCGGCCACAGATCAATGCCTACACAGAAGTGGCCAAAATCATGATACATGCCAATCCGCATTAACATGATATGATAAATCAAGTATTATAAGCCCGACATATTTACACCAAAATGAAATGTGAATTATTTCTTTTGGCAGGGACAGAAGCAATGACGGCTCCTCCGAGAACACATTCCGTTGTGGGGCTAATCTCTCTATGATTAGGCATGATATACCACATGTCCATCATATATCCTTGCTAAGAGATGACAAGAACATGCGACCAATGTTTCATGCACTCAGTAATTATCTCACAGAACTGAAAAGGAGCAAAATGAGAGAACTTTCTTTAATATGTGGTACTTCATTTGGTCTCTATATACAAGGTGATCAAATGCAGATTCCAGAGAATCCAGACAGCTGAAATCTGATGAGTCAAAATGTCCATGCTTTGGACTTTTGATTGCTGCTAACTTAAAAGCTGTTAATTGTTAAGAACATCGAACTAGCAATAACAGATGCTGAAGCAAAAAAAAAAGCAAAATCGTTCATTTAACTCAGCCCTGGGAAAGAATTTCGAGGACTTAAATCTTTTGTTCACCCAATTTGTTCACACAGACTATGGAAAGAAAACAGTAAAGGAAAACCTCTATTTGCTTTTGTATGAACTAAGGCTCCGTCCCTGATCAGGTTAAACATTCACGAACAGGTTATAATATGTAAAAGCTATGCTTCTTCCGCTTGATTCTTAGTGCTTTTCGTTAGTTTCTCATCCAAATATCAAGAAAAAGAAAACTTTGCAAATGTGTTCATAGATAGTCACAGCAATCTCTGAGATAAAAAAGAGTTCAAGAATCTTCATAGAAGACGAATTTTGCAATACTCTAACTGAGAGTCCGAGACCCTCCTCGTTGGAATAGACATGGCTCAATCAAGCAGAGCAAATTGAAGACACGTTCCATTTGATCGGTCAAGTCGAGAACCGAAGCTAACCGGCACTAGCAGACCTCATAAAGCGCGACGGATCCGACCAATCATTCCGTTTCCGCTGTCGAACATAATCCATCGTAACTCTAATCAAACATGCTATGTGCAAAGCATGACCAACACCACAAGAAGCACACAACAACAAAAACAAGAAAAGAAACCGCCAAAAATCAAATCTTTCTATAGCCTGCTGATTCCAATTGAACAGAACATAATTCACACGGACCGCGAATTAAACGCTATACATATCCAATTATATCGAACATTACCGGGGATTTCAGCGATTCGGGGCTCCGTGTAATGCCCATTACAAACAACCACCGCATCAAAAACCTCCTCCTCTTCTCCGCCGCCGCCGCCATTTCTCATCCTCCACCTCACCTTCCACCTTCCGCCCTCCTCCACCATCCCAACCCCCACGATCTCCTCCTCGAACCTCACCAATTCCTCAAGCCCAAACTCCCTCGCGAAATCCTCCAAGTACGCCAGCACCTCCTCGTGGCCCGGGTACCCCCTCGGGTCGCCCGACCCGTCCGCCCTCGCCAGGAACGGGTATTCCCCGAACCCCATCACCTCGCGGGGCAGGTTCGTGCGCAGGGACCTGTAGAGGCTCGAGTGGACCACGGCCCGTGCCGGGTCGATCCCGAGCGGGTCGGTCTCGGTGCCGGGCGCGTACACCCAGGTGCCGCCGGCGCGGGGCCCGCGCTCGAAGACCACGACCCCGTGGCCCTCGCGGCGGAGCTCGCGGGCGGCGACGAGGCCGGCGGCCCCGGCGCCGATGACAGCCACGTGGCGGGATATCATGGAGGCGGCCATGGCGGCGGCGGCGGCGGGAATCGCGGCGAGGGGAACGGGACAACGGAGGCGAAAACTTGGTCGTGCGCGAAGGAGTGGCGGCGAACGAGTGGCGACGAACGTATGGGCGCGAGAGGGAGGGAGAGTGAGTTTTTCCGGCGGCTGGGCAATCTCTTCGGGGCGCACCAAATAATTGGCTAGAAATTAATTAATGGATTCGTTTTTTTTTTTCCTTTATGTTTTTCCATTTTTGGGGCGGCGAGGATGCTCTGAGAAACTGCCGCTGCGAGCAAAGAAAAGAACGACTTGAATTGCCCGGGGGGAAGAAGGAGCGTCGTGTCGCGCGCCTTTGGGCTTTTCTTCTTTTTAGAAATTGCTCGTGTTCCCATTTTCTTCCTCCTCGTCTCCGTACGTTTCGCCGAAAACTTTTCAGCGAAAAAAATGAATTTTTGGAGAAAAATGAGTCGACGGAAAGCCCGTGCTTAAACTCGTAGAAAAATGATTTTTTCTTTGAAAAATCGAAAAATATTTTACAAAATATGACTAGGTATCGTCATTTGGACCTGAAACTCTACACTTCAGCACACAAACCCCAACAATAGTTCCTAGTTCCTCGACATTCAGGGCCAGGTCTCCGGCGCTCGGCCGCCCAGGTCTTTCAAGGCCTAGCCCGAAGCCTTGGTGCCCGTGCCTGATGCCCCCGACACTCTTGCCCAGGTGCATAAAGGGCATGCTCGGGTCCTCGATACTCAAGCTCTGGTCCCCGACACTCAAACATGGGTCCATGAAGGTCGTGCTCGAGTCCTCGATACTGAGACTTGGACCTTTAGTTAATGAAATATTCGTCCTAATAAAAATATTTTCAAAAAATCGAAATTTTTAATTATTTTTATTCTTTTCTTTCGTTTTTTTTTTCCTTCTTCCTCGGCCGATCACCAGCCACAGCGATGGCCATAGGTGAGGGAGGAACTCACCCAAGGCTAGCGAGCGTTGACCTCATCAGCCTCCGGCAAGGCTTCACCTTGCCAGATCAGCGCGCTAGAGCCTCCTCCGAGGTTGCTAGAGCTTGAGGAAAAGAAAAGAAAAGAGAAGAAAAGAAAATTTTAGATTAAGTTAAATTAAATTAATCAGAAAATTTGGAATTTTTTGGTAATTTTCTCCAGAAAAATCAAATTAGCTTTTATATATTAAACAGCGAAAAATATTTTCTAATTCATTTTCAGGTTTCAGCCAAATACAAAAAAATATTATCATTTTCAAAGAACGTCACATTCTCCGCGAAACTGACAGAGCCTTAATACCACCATATTAGCTCAACGGCCCGATCAATGCAACAACATTTCTATATGAGTCGAAATGATCAAGTGGGGAAAGATCGAAGGAAGAGAGAATCCGCGGTTGGCTTCACCGCCGGTCTCGCTCTCTGTAATTCCATGCGAACCAAGCTTCTCTAATTCAACTTTACTAACGTAGTAAAAGATTAAAAAAATAAAAAAAAAGATGCCATTTTTCAGAATTTGGTCATGATCTACTATTATTAAGTATCGTACCATGATACTTTTTTACTCTCTTTTGATTAGCTGTGTTCATCCTCAGATGCAGACCCCTACTCGGGTCGGTTCATACTATCATGACCAATGAATGAATTATCAACCCCACCATAGTCGGTCAACGCATATCACCTTTTGTGCGCCACATCTTTAGCGCATGACAACTAAAAATCATAGATCCCCCTCTAAAAAGCCACGTAACGTCAACCCAACTTTAGATAGAAATCTCGCTATTAAAAAGCTATCGGCCCTATCGGGAAAGAAATCGGGGAGTCGGGATGCTAGTATCACAGGTGCAAGATTCGACTTCCACGCTCTGTAGAGAGACAAAGCAAAAGTCAGAAAGTAGGGAGAGTTAGAGATATGATAAATTAAAAAAAAAAAAGCTATCGTTAGTGGAGCATTTGGGTTTGCGAGCTATGTGTGGATTCGAATTGCTTAAAACGATTGAAAATAGCCATTATTTTAGGCTCCGTTCGTTTGGCGGAAAATATTCTCCTTTTGGAAAATATTTTCTCGGAAGTCATTTTCCTGGAAAATGTTTTCCGGAACATAATTTTCCGGTATTCGGCGAATATGAAAAAGTTTCGGAAAATATTTTTCGCCGGCGGTGGCAGCGGCCAGCGGCGGCCGGCGCCGCAGCGGCCAGCCAGCGCGGCGGCGGCCCGGCCGGCGGCATGGCTGGCAGCAGCTGGGCGGTGGTGGCCGCGACCTTAGTGAAGAAGAAGAAGAAGAAGCTCGGAAAATGATTTCCGCTTTTGAAGAAAGCGGAAGTCATTTCCATAGACTAATTATTTTAGTGACACGTTGTTTTATAGAAGTAGCATTTAAATATTCTAACACTCCGTCTTATGCATAAGATGGGTATTGGACTCAAGACTAGGCGCGGTAACACGTAACAAGCGCAAGATGATTCCTTATATCAAACAATATCACGATTAATATATTGTGATATTTGGAAAATTCACACATCGATTAATAATATATGAAAGAATTTGTATACGATAAATGTCACAAGTGGAGATTTTAGTTGGATTATTAACGTTGTAGCAGTGGAATGTCCGTAGTATATTTTCCGCATTCTTAGTCTTTGAATAGCGATTCCATTAGTATTGAATTATTGAATATTTATTATTGGGTCGATTATCTAGAGTGACGACGAAACGTGTATTGCCACTTTGGTTGTTAACGGAGATTGATGCGCTTTGAAATTACGTATCGGATGAGTGGTAGATTGGAAATTTAGCGAGCCGAGACGCTCCTAGCATCTGGTAATTTTTGCCGAACGTCTTAGCGAGTTTAATATATTTTTCTCACTTTTCGATGTTTAAAACGAACACCGATTTTTTTTGTTTACATACTGATTAGAAATTTCCAACCTACCACTCATTCCACACGTAATTTTGGGAGCATATCAGCCCACGCTAACAACAACCAGAGTGGCGATGTACGTTTCATCGTCACTCTAGATAATCGACCCGACAAGAAATTTTCAGTAATTCAATACTAACAGAATCACACTATTGTAAGACTAAGAATACGGAAAATATAATTCGGACCTTCCTCTAGTGCAATGCTAATAATCCAACTAAAATATCCACTTATGACATGTATCGTCGACAAATTCCTACACATATTATTAATCAATGCGGGGAATTTTCCGGATGTCACATAGATGATGATGGGACCATAGATCTTGTACAATTAATAAAAAGAAAAGAAAGAAAGATTGGAAAGTTGGGACCACGGGTGGGACTAGGAACAGGCAAAGTAACACAAAAAACAATGCCAACATGGCTGGACGTTATCATTTGACCACACACACACAAGTCAAAAAAGGAAAAAAAAAAAAAAGAAAGAGGTTGGAACGTCAATCAATAAATGAATAAATAAATGAATAAATAAATGATATGCTATGATATGATATGATATGATATGATATGATATGATGGTCTTTCGAGCAGGACATAGAAATTAAATATTTTTAAATGTCCACCGTCCGGCTCCGACCATAAAGCAAAGGCAAATGAAGACAACCTGCTCGATTCGGCAGGAGGAGCCCAACAAAGAGCGAGAAAACGTGCGCCTATTCATCTTCCTCAATTGCATTTCGGCACACCCTCCTCCATTCACACGCGTACTCGAACCTCGTTGTTGTTCCGATCGATGATGACCGGCGAGCCCCGTGATCGGCGCCTCGTGGACCCGTCCGGCCCGGATCGATGCCCGGGGAGTCGGGCGTACCTCGTCCGTGAATTTGGACGCCCGAGGAAAGTTCGGTCTTCCACATCATCGAGCGCAGACGATCTCGATACGGTTTCTTGCCTCGCGTCCTACCTTGATTAATGGAAGTAGATAATTATCTCTGGACCCAAGTTTTACTTGCTTAAGCCGACTTTAACATCAATCTGTAGCGAGGAAGCAGCCATCTTAGTAAGATGTCAAATTTTATCCTAGTTGTTCATCCAGTTCCTTATAGCACGTTTACAAGCAAGAATTTTTGACGGGTGAATGAGAACCGATAAATATTTCTGCCGTAAAAAAAGGGTTTGCGACTGAAAACACTTAATTTTTGCGAAAAGTACCAAAAAAGTCTTAAACATACTGCATTAATACTAAGTCAGTTTCTAAACATTTCAATTGGACCAATTTAGTCCTATACCTTTTCGCGTTTGCAATTGAGTCCATCTAACCAATTTAGGTCCAAAATTGCCGACGAGGACACTGGCCATCCTACGTGACACGGCTGGATTGAATTGTTATCAATGTAATAGGTTTAAGACTTTTTTGGTATTTTTTACCTTAATTTTTCTATACTCTTGTCATTGGTCAGTCATTAAGCTTCTCGTATCTCGTCGTGTCCGATCATACAATTAGGAAAACCATTGGGAAACACATACCGACGCCATACACATCACGAGCCTCTTTTTTTTTTTCGGGATGATCCTATGATCTCTACGAGGCATTGCGTCCCTTTACAATCTTTCACCGTCAGATCGAGACGCTATAAATTTCAACTGTCCAAACATATCTCAGCCCGAACTACCGTGACCCTTTTCATTTTTTATGTTTTTACTGGAAGGTGTCTTTTGGGACTCCGACCCACCCCTTATTTATTTTTTCTTTTTTTTCACGAGAAAACGAACGACCAAAGCATCACCTCATCACAACAAATGGGAAGCCTTGGCGAAATCAATCCGGCGAGGAATGGGAGGTTTCCTCTCTGTGTGCTGTGTCGTTGTTGGTCAGGAGGCGCGAAAAGGAAAAGGGGCAGGGCGGAAATGTGGAAACCGCTTTTTGCAGTTGGAAATGGAATTGTACCAACCAAAGCACGGCTGTCTGTGACTGGCCAGTCCTTGAAAAAGCCTTGGAAAATCTTCATGCTAGAGAGAGAGAGAGAGGGAGGGGAATCTTGCCCTATGAAGATCAAGAGAGAGAGAGAGAGTGAAAGAGACAGAAAGCTTTTTTAATCTCTTTTTTTATTATCATGTCAGGACTGAAGTGGAGATAGAAAATTAATAAGTTGCTAAAAAAATAGAAAAGGATTAACACCGTAAAAGAAAGAACTACGATTCGATATAGCCCGTGATAAATTTATTTAAAATTAATCTTTTAATCGTCCGAAATCTCAAATCAGTACATTGAATTTTGCCGTCGAATTGCTGAGCCCGATGATATGTGACAGTTGACGGGAGGCGTACACGGAAGTACTGTTTTGGGGTTCGACCCTTCGTTCATCACAGATGTATTGATTTGTGATTTATTTTGATATTAATTTAATTTAACGAAGAATAAATTTATCTTATAGACGTATCGATTTAGATTTTTTGGTGGCCTGGACAGATCTATCATGATATGTCATGAATGGATGATGTGATTTGGGCTGAGGTTGCCCTCTCGCCCTATTACACTCCTTTTAACGCAATGCAAGCGTTAGAGAGAGAGAGAGAGAGAGTTTCCATCAGCGTGTTTGTCCCCCAAAGATCCGATTCTTTATATCCAATGTTATTCTCTTCCTCTCATCCGTTTCCACACATAATATCTCCAACCGTTGCGCGTGCTCTTTTCATTCATGGGATCATGCGATTTCCTTTGCTCTCTCTCTCTCTCTCCTAGAGAATGAGAATTTCGCCGAGAGAAGAGGAGCGGAAGAGGAGGAGGAAGAAGAAAGCGTCCTCCTTTCTTGAGCTTCAATGGTTCCTGGTACTCTCTCTCTCTCTCTCTGGAAGTCTTCTTTTGGTTTCTTTCGCCTTCTGTTCCGCGTTTGCAGTCTGTGTCTGATCTTGCCCGGTTCCTATTTCATCACCCAGAAGCTTAAAAATGTCCCCTTTTTTTGGGGGTGATATCGTGTTATGCCGTTTTGTTTCGCGTCCGCGCGAGCTGAATGCGGAGTTTGAGGTCACCAGATTTCTGGGTTTTGCTCTTCTTTTCCGTTCTAGCTTTGTGCATTAAGTGCTTTCCTTTCTCTGGGTAGATGTGATGGACTGCAAGTATTAATTGTTTATTGTGGCGTCTGATGTTTCATCGACCCTGTTCAAGGCCGAGCCTCTTGAGTAGAGGAACATCACGTGCAGAGAGAGAGAGAGAGAGAGAGAGAGATGGGTGAATCTGGTGTGTGTATGATTTTGTTGGATCATATGAAGAGAGAAGATTGGCGCTTACTTTGGTAGTTTCTCAACTGTTCCTGACATGGAAATTCGGGTAAGCTTTTCTCCCCCGTAGTGGTTGGGACAGGATATTATGATTTAATGCGTGTTTTGCCTAAGCGATGGATAATAATTTAGACGGTAAGAACGAGAGTGTTCAGCGGTTCCGCTATGGGTCCTATGTCGAGCTTAATTATTGTATGGAAAATGATTCCAAGCGATGGGTTGCTTTTACTTCCTCTCCTGAATCTTTAAAATTGACACCAAAGGATGCTATTTGTGAGTAGTGGGGTATGATTGTTTGCATTAGAGTGGCTTCGCAATTGGGCAGATTTTACGATTTAAATGAATGATACACGCGACATGGATGCAGTAGATAGAGCTTGAGGACTTAAGTATCGGCTGTTCTGAACCTCGAAGTTACTGGAATTGTTTGGACAATGCTCTTTCTCTGAGGCTTCAAGCAATGGAAGAAAGTTAATTCTGTTTACTAATTGAGTTTGGCAATTAGAGGATTACTGTGCGTCCTCCGTGGCTGCAGTCACTTCAGTCTTTTAGATTAGTCTAACTGCCATCACTCGCCAATTAAACTTCAGCCATTCTAATTTCTGCTCTCTGATGCGACAAGAATTGGAACTTCGTCACTGAATTGTTAATTGTAAATGCCTCAATGGTTAGTGATTGTAAATCCGATAGCAGAAAATGCAAAATGTTTGCTCACTTAATTTTCTCATTTTGTCTGCTTGGATGCATAAATCATTCAACCATTTCTTTTCAGAGTGTTTCAGAGGAGAAATCTATGGAGGAGAGGCTCTGACTTGAACAGAAGGAATAAGGGCACTTTTTGAACTTCAGTACGTCAAATTTGAGGAAGAGATGAAGGAACAAGGTGACTTGAACATGAACTTAGTGCTGGGGCGCAGCGATTCACATAGAGAGTATATGAAGCATACAATTATCAACCAGGAGCTCATCTTCAGGAATCAGGTAAGGTGGCGTAGATTCTTCAGTATCCACGTAAGGTAGTGTCTTATGTTGTAGCAATTACCATAATTTGACAAGGTGTTGACGTTTCATCTTGGTCACCTGTCGGGTGAGAAATTTCTCAACTATTGGGGTGTTCTTGGGGGCAATGGCATGACTTTTTCAGTTTTTATAGATGTTTCAGTCATCTTCTTTTATCATTTGTGTCCAAATAGCCCTCCGGCTGTCGGCCGTGCGGGGGGTTCCTGGGTTATCAAAAAAAAAAAAGAAAAAAAGACAACAACTAGATTGCCTTCAAGATTTTTGCCTTCATTTTACCCGACTGAGAAGGTTCTCAACATACCGCTGCCTTTTCTATCTTTTGTCTATTTGTAGATCCTTGAGCTCCATCGATTATACAAGATGCAGAAGATGCTAATGCAAGAGCTCAGCTGGAAAGAGCCCCGGAAATGCAATGTTTGGAAAGCCAGCACTCAGTCAAATCTAACACAACTTACAAGTATAACAAGAAACCCACTGCCTAAGGACGTCATTTTTCATGAAACTCCAAAGGTAATGCTATGAACTTCAAGAAACGCTAATAATGTTTCATTTCAGTCTGCAAGCTTCCGCTTTTCCTTGCCCGCGTGTTTGCTTAGGCTTTTGGAAATTTGCGACTTGTTTGCTAAATATGAGTTTGCCACTACCTCGGATGCATCTGATCAGGATCTGAGCTCAATTTGTGTTCTTTAATTTGACAAATGCGACATTGTTCACAAATGAAATTTAAGGAGGCTTCATAAATATTGCCCAACCAGGCTATAGAGGAATGCACCTCCTCCTGCAACAAGCTTCAACGGAGGCACCTTGATCTCGAGGAGAGGATGATAAACTGCCAGCTTCCTGCTATTGAGTATTCCAATAGCAGTGATGCGCACTGTTTTGAAAAGCAAATTTTAAGAGATTATTTAAAAGAATCAGAAAACGGTCGTCGTTCCCGTGGCGATGATTTTGCCGATCTCAATAATTTGAAGCTTTCCTTGACCAATGGAGAGTGCAGTGAGAAGATGGGAGGCATTTTGACTATATCGGATGCTAAGAGGAGCTACGCCGGTTCCCATGGCATTGCAAATCCTCAATGTCCAATTAGAAGGATGTTCGATGAAAATGATAGACTCACGTTGTTGCCACATGAAAATGATACCAACTTATCTCTTTTATCTAGTCAAAGCATCTCGAAGAGTGCAAAGTGCGATCCATCTGATGGGATCACACACTCTAAAAGCCAACCCAGGTTCAACTTTCTGGATGAAGGTATGGGCTGTTCGATTGTGACTTGTATTGTACCCTTGGTGCTTCTTTTCCCCCCTTGACTAGTTCTTGGGCAAGTTAAAGGGTGTTTCCTCACCATCGCCATGTCCTTTGCAGCTGGGAAAGCGTACGTTGCAAAAGTTCCAAACAATCTCCAGCCCAGGAAGCCTCCTGTTGTCGATCTTAATACAGTTATTGTTGACAGCTCACCTTGTTGCTCAGATGATGTTACCACTGTCACCAATCACTCGACGTCCTTAGCCGGGAAGGTTCGTCCAGACGGTTGTTGTATTTTTGGTTATATCATGAAAGATGACATCAGCAGCTCAGATGAAAGGCATAACATGCTTCAAGGAGAAAGACTCTTGAATATTGCCGTGCTGAACTCCGAGGGCAAAACCAATAGTGGACTCACAGAAAAGAATCACCGTGATGATGCCATTAGAGTTGCTGAGATTAGCTCCATGGATCTTGAGGCTTCATCCAGGAGGCTACCGGGCTTTTTTGAATGTCTTGGCACTAACAATGGTAAGATTAATAATGAATATGTCGAGCTTACATCAGAATCTTCAAATAGTCTTGTCCTGGAGCAGCAGGAGGGTAATGCACGAGCAAAAGATTCTGAGGATGATGAAAAAGACGCTCTGCTTTCTTCACCTGGGAAGAGCTGTCAAGACACAAGTCAAGATGGACACCAGCAGATGCAATGTGGGATCAGAAGTATGGATAGTGATTCAAGTAGCATAAAGACAGCACAATCTGGACACGGAGTTGGAAAATCTAGCTCTTTGATGTCAGAAGAAAAATCAACAGCACGTCAAGCTGTGGAAACCTCATCGAACAAGCAGGAAACAGCACAAAGAATAAGCATTGGACCCGAGAACAGTTGCCCGGGAAGGAAAGATTCACCTGAAGGTGATGAATTGATCCAAGAAGCAGCCGAATCACTCATCCGAATTTCACTTACCGATCCGGCTTGGTTTGAAGATTGTTCTAGGCAAGTGGGATCTAACGAAGCAGAAAAGGATGGTGATAATCCTACGAAACCCCTGTCTTCTTCTGATTCCTACGAGTTGAACGTGCTCATGCTAGAGGAAAGCAATACAGAGGATTATTCAGTTACCTCAAAGGCATTCGACATAGCAGAAGTGTCGGATAAGGATTTCAGCATTAGGCTGAGAAGGGGTAGGAGATTGAAAGACTTTCAGAAGGAGATATTGCCTGGGTTAGCGTCTCTTTCCAGGCACGAGATTCTCGAAGATGTCAACATTCTAGAGGGAGTCATTAGATCGAGGGAATACCGGAAGTTAAGAGCCAAGATGGCTGATGGGGAGATGTTGTGTGCTCCCTTGAGAAGCAGACGGTCAAGATCCTATCACGCAGGACGAAGAAGATATTGTTGACTAATATTGCTTCTTAGATGTTATTTGCATTCCTATGACCGCAAGTGATGTGCCTTTGCACTACCAATTATTGTTTTAGAAGCTTTTTTATGCAAAGAATGTTATTCTGGTCTTGTCGGGGATTTATGAGTACTGTAAACGTTTGATTTTTTAGTGTTACTTTGAACCTGTCTAGGTTCTTCATTGCGGTAGGACAGTTGTGTCGTAAGTTATAAAACAGTCAGGTTTATGCACTTTGTTGTGAAAAATCTCATCAGTGTTCAGAGATGATCTTTGTAAAAGTCATCTTTGCTAATGATTGTCACAATTCAGATTAGGAAAATCCTTCCGGGCCAAGTTTATCTGATTATGTGCGTCTCCTAGTGATTTAGCTTTGTATTCTGATTCCTTGTGCAGTTTCGGTTAGGCGATCCGTGAGGATAAACTCATGCTTTTACTTTTTTAAAGGATAAACAGGAACTTGTCGAACGCTGCTCTTATGCGACTTGATGATCGCGGCTTAAGCGTTTCTGTTGCTGCATAAAGATTCGAGGGATGCTTTGATCAGCCAAGACAGATGGAAGATGGAACGCCATCTATGCATGTTCAACCCCCTAGATTTAGTGATGCAAAAACGAATCATCCCGTGACATTCTCAAGAGGAAACACTTTGACTTATTATCATTGGGAGCTTCAAAACAGCCTTACCCCGATTGGCAATCTGGTTATTCAGTCATTATTTGCGGGTGCCAACCACTGTTCAAGTTAGCGATTATTCTTTATCAGACAAAAATATCGGTGACGTCACCTAGCTTTACCAGGGTAAAATTCACGTTGAGGTGAAAGATCAAGAACGTGACATTGAATACATCCAGAACCTTGAGACTCTAGTGAGGCAAGAGGAGGAGGACCCCCATTTTCTTTTTAGAGTGAAAGATCGATAAAATCTCTCTCTCTCTTGATGTGGATCTGTCCCACCTCACAAGTTTTGTCCTCCTGATTGAACATGTTGGTCATTGGATCCTACTCATGTTGCTGCAAGAGTCAAGGACTAAATCTTTAAAGGAAAATGTTCTGAGATACACTTACGCCCATATTCTACAATGAATCATTCTGGTTCTCATGAACTGTCCAGTGAGTGGACTGAAAATGATGACTTCAGATTGATTCATGAATCGTTGATTTATATGGAAGGTTTCCTCGAACATGAGCACTGACCCTTTGTTTCTTCTCTCTCCTTACAACACTGCAAAGTTATTCCCTCTTGCCTCAATGGTGGGCCCCAGCAATATATCTTACTTTCATCGGCATCATACTGCAATTTTGTTTTATTGAGTCTTATCTTTTGGCGCAGTCCAATCGGCCTGCACGCGCCTCGACTAGTCCACCTCCTCTCAAGAAAATCAAAGCCTCCAAGGGTCGAAATCTCCGCTCCACCTATGGAAAATTCCATCCCTAGCCTAGGGTCTGAGCCCGGGATGGCTAAGACATAGGACACCGGTCTTTACTGCTCGAGCTGAGCCCTTGGCTAGAATGTTTCCGGTAGAGCCATCAAATTTAAGGTATTTGCACGCGAAATCGAAAGAAATAAACTCAACAGAAGGCCGAAAAAGACGGAAAAAAAGAAAACACCCTTAAAATATGTTGTCAAGAGGAGATTGATGGGATGTCTCAGTTGTGGTGTATGCCAATGTTGTAGGTATAAGGTTTGGACAATTAGGTAGGGGAGGGATCTACACTATCTCTTTGGCTAAGATGAATAAGTCCACTTAGGACACTGAAAAGGTTCACTGCGCCTTTGTGGTAACACATTCATCATCCCAAACGAATCTAATCAAGCACCACTTTTTGTCTCTGTTACCAAACACCTCCCACAAACAGCACAGAACACAGTATAATCTCTTGCAAGATCTCCCCCTCTCTCTCTCTCTCTCTCTCTCTCTCTCTGGCCTTTGTAAATGAAAGATGACAATTGATATGTCGGTTGGATCGGAAATTAAATGCACATAATTACAATCCCCCCCCTCCTCCTCCCTGATTCGGCTCAAAAATGAAAAAAAGCGGGGTCCAATCAGTTGGATCACCTAATCCTTGACACGATAATTCGGATTGATGATGCCTACCAAAAGTACCTAAAACCCTCTCTTGTGGTCCTCACCCTATGAACTCTCCATCAAACCCAACGTTCACACCCAAAGCTGATCCGATGCCTATCCATTCATGCCCCCCCCCATCTTGGTTATCTTGGGCCCTTCCAAGGCTAAACAGGGTCGGCGGTGTGGAGTTTCCATCACCTAACCCTCCCAAAGAAATCTTTCCTAATTCTAGAACTCCATAGCTAATGTTATCACCCATTAGTCAAATGGGTCTCATCGACCCTTGTTCGGCTCTCGCGAGAGGAAAAAAGAAAAGATGCGAATCGGTAGGATTCGACCGAGGACGCAACAACAACCGCTCTGCTGAAGTCTCGTCATATTCGTTCGCCACTCGCAAAGATCTTCATCAGTACGTAAACCCGCTTCCGCGATTTTTTCCCTTTCTCTAGCGTGCCTCTGTAGATCGAGGAGACTTCTCATGCTTTCCAAAGTAAAACCTCCGCTTGCGTTGGCATGTAGGGTTTGCGATAAAAGGAGGCCTTCATCTGTCATCTGACAACTCATAATTCCACATTAAATTAAGGCTTCGCTTTCGGATTCTTAGTACAGGACGCTAAGATCCACACAACAATGACTGGTCCTGCTGAAATGGCTTGGCAACCAGAAGGTGTGCACGTTCGGCTCGCAAAGAAAGGAAATGGAAAGAACATCCTTTTCTGGGAAATTTACACCAGATTTTTTTTCCTTTGCTGACTCTCTCCGTCTCTCTCGAATTCCTCCAATCGAACCACCCATCAATTTCTTCTTTTTTATTTTTTATTTTTTTGCTTTCTAATTCGATGCAAGAAAGCAGTGGGTGATGCAAACGGGCAAGAGCAGGACCACAAAATCTAGCTAGATGAAATCTGGCGGCGATTATCAATGGGAAGATCACTTGTTGGGAAGAGAGAGAGAGAGAGAGTGGAGATAGCCATAGTTTTCGTGAGTGTTGTGTGTGAGGCCCTTTTTGTAGGTGTTAATGAATTTTCACTTTAGTGTGTACACACACACACACATATATATATATATATATATATGTATATATATATATATGTATATATAATAGCAAAGTTGAGGTATCGCTGAAACTCCTGCAGCGACTATACGTGGTGCGTCCGTAGTCGCTCCAATCTTAAAAGCCTTCCTTTGTGAATTGTGAGATAGATTAAGGTTTTTTTAAAATAGGTTTTTAAGAAATAATTTTTTTTTAAATCGGTCTAGTTGGAGCGATTTGAGTGGGCGGTTTTACACTTGGAACTAGAAACCGGACCAAAATTCACTGGTTCCAATGGTATGGAACCGAGACCAGATCGGTGCCCCCGGGAACCATCCAGAATCGGCCGGTCCAGTTCAGTCCAGGCGGTTCCTTTTGCTCATACCTATTTTATGTACATCACGCTTTTACGGTACGTACATAACCTATTATGACCACGATTAATTTAATAAACAAATTAAAGAACTCCACAAATGTAATGTGTTAGCTTAAAAAGCTTATATCAATTTGTCCATGGTAAGACTAAAAAATGGGTGATAACGAGTGCATCGATATGCAAGGTGCAGATATACTGAGCCTCCTGCACTCATCTATATAACTTAAGAGTCCACTATGACAAATCCCATTAAGGTGTTGTTTATCCTTTACTATCTAAGACCTCAAATACTTTACGCATGACTATCATGAAAAATAAATCGTCTAGGAGAAATTGACAAATTCTCATGTTTGATAACATTATGTGGGGCGCGTTAAATCCTCGCTCACTTACTAATCCTCGAATCAAGAACGGATGAGGCTGTCTCTTTGAATAGTTGCTGCATGTTCGAATTACTCTACATATAAACCCTCCCGCATACCAACTTATTCTAATCCTTGATGATGATACGCAATCCATTAAGATAATGTAATAAGATAGCGGGTGTCCCTGGTCCAAATTAGTATTTTCTCGTAGCGCGTGAAAAGTTGTAATGCCGATTAATAAATGTTGATTGTTTCACGCGACTTTCTAGTGCTGTAACCATTGATAAATGATATATCAATAGAGTTTCATATGTGACGATGAATGATTACTACCAAACTCGACAAATTATTTTTCACCTCCCGTTGCTGCATATTGTGGATCGAAAACATAAGTGCTAGTGAGTGTTTTCAACGTTCTAGGTGCAATTGAATAAATAAAAATTATAATTTAAGAGTAAATTGCATTTATTTATTTTTATTTTTGCTAGCTAGAAGAGTAAACTAGTTTATTATATAAAGTAATAAGGAACATCCACTGGTAATAGATCGGCATACCTGAATATTTGCATAATGATCGACTTATTATATAGAACCACGATATAATGTGGGATATTGAACTTTTTGGTCACACTCGTAGTACATGCATATTCATTTATTGGGTGATGAAAGCAATCATGAAAGATATCCCACTTATCAAAGTATATTATTATACATAGATCATTGCCCCACTTTATACTTAATTATGATGCATAGATAATCGCCCATTTGCAAAATTATCCACGTCAACGCCGACCGTGCCACGTAAGATGACCGACGTTCACGTTGGTAATTTTCGACAAAATAGGTCGGAAGGACTATATTGATAAATCGTTAAAAGGTTTAAGACTAAATTGACACAATTGAAATATTTAGAACTGAATTAACTTTTTAAACAATTATCCCGATTGACTTGCCAATTAAACTCGCCCATTGTTCCTCTCAAATTTGCATGCTCGACATCTTCATCTCTTTCAATCTTCTTTTTTCGTTTCATGATATATGCTCCATCGCAATCAGTAAAAATTTGGCGATTACAGCTTTTCATATTGAATTATATGAAAATGACGTCATTAGGAAACACATTTTTAAGTCGGTCAATCTGATCAAGGCACATAAAAGTTCAGTCACTGATTATTATTATCATTACCCGGTATTGCCCGATCACCTTCTGAACAGGAAATACAAAAAGCAATAATTGAGAATGGCCTATAAAAGTCATAATATCCAAAACCTAACAATAGCATCTGGGGGTTATTGTCTTTGAGATTCCAATTTTGATGTGTTTTATTATTTATAGGAATTTTCCATAATTTTAAATAATATTCTCATATCTTAAAATTTCATTTAATTTAAAGTATGATTTTGAACCATATTCCAATTTTATTTATTTTATCTTTCTTGTTTAGTATCCTGGTTGAATTTTTAATTCCCTTGGTTCTGTTAAAATTTGCAGTCTGTACATTAGCCATGTCCATTGAAAAACATAGCTTAACCATATTATAGATAAGACACCAAACCATTTTTGCAGCTTGGTGCCGTTGGAGACCGAACCAAACCGCTTATTCTTCTCTCATTTGTTTGCTCTTCATTTTTTTTTTTGTAATTTCATGAGCTTTTAAATTCACTTAACTAGCTTAGAATGAGCATTAATAGCATGGGAAAAAAAAGCAAAATCTACACTCATAACAATTCATAAATATACGAAAAATGAAAACGAAGCCTTCTTCAAATCCTAAAAATAAGCTGCTTCATGCGTGAATGGCGAAAATAATTTTTAAAGCACTAGCAAGTTCTTCAATACGGTTTGAGTCTCGTGAATATCATCAATCTCATAGTATTACCTTGTAGCACGCTTGATCAATGAGCAATGCTTAGACGAGTCGAGTAGAGTATCGAGCCTTCAAGTTCCGATCTAAGCTTGCCCGTTAATTTGTAATATGACATGCCTCAGTGGGTCCATGCTGGTGGGCCCGAGCTTGAGAAAGGGATTATTTTACTCAGGTTCATAGGATTTCTACTCCCGACTTTTTCGCTCGGCAGGATTAGTTTCTGTCAAACTCATGATCGGGTCTATCTCATCTACAAGAAAAAAAAAGAAGAAGAAGAAGTTGTTACGCTTTCCAAATACATTGCTCCTAGCGCTTCTCGCTCGTGCCTATATAAATCAGCAGCAACTTCGATCCTCCTCATTTTTCAAATCTCACCTCCTTCTCTCTCTCTTTCTCTCTCTCTCTCGGTTTCACGGCTCTTTCCAAGCTTCCATCTTTCTTTCACCATTCGCGAAGCATTTCACAGGGAGAGCGACAAATGTCTGCGGACAAAGACGAGGACCCTCGCGTGTCCGGCATCAAGTCCAAAATCCGCGTCGTCCCTGATTTCCCCAAGCCAGGTTCTTGTCTCCTCTCTGCAAATTCCCCCATTTCTCGTTGGGTCCGAGCTTCTGAAGTTCGTCTGCTTTGCTCTGGAGGGCTCGGGCGAAGTTGGGTTTCTTTGTTTCTTTTTTTGTTGGTTCTTCTTCTTCGTCAGGAAGAAGCACAATGCAATATGCATCGACCCATGTCCTCTCTCTCTCTATCCAATTCCCGTCTTTCTGCACCTTTTCTTGTTTCGTTTTGTCCTCTGTTTTCTAGTGATCCACAGATGGTGTTTGTTTTTCTCCTCCTTTCTTCCCTTCTTTTGTTGTCTCTAGTAATCACGAACGCGTTTGTTTTATCTCAGGAATAATGTTCCAAGACATCACTACTCTGTTACTGGATTCCAAGGCATTCAAGGACGCCGTCGACTTGTTCGTTGAGCGTTACAAGGACAGGAACATTTCTGTTGTCGCAGGTAAAAAAACGGGGAAAGAGAAGATTTTGATTCGAAAAGAACCTTGCTTTTTCCTAATCAAAACGTGTTATTTCCCCGAGCTATTCGCAAGTTCATTAGTCAGGACTCAGACATTAGTGAAGGGTCTGTCGAGTCAACGAATCCCCTCGAGCCCGAAACCTCATGGTAAAAGGAGTAGGTTCCACTTTCAAAGTACGAACTTCACTCAGTTTCTGAAGGCTTTCTTGGTTTCGCTTCACGGACAGTCACTCTCGACAAGCGATATTCAAGTAGTAAAATTACGAATCGAAAATCGACAACTTAACTTTCTCTGTTTAATCATTTCGCGCGACTTATTTTTTTCTTTCTCGAGATTTTCTGTTTTCCCCTTGACATGTATTGGATTGGATAAGCGACCATTCTCCCTCTTGGGCTTTTGTTTTCTTCCCCCCGCCTTATTTTTTTCCCATTCAATTTGGCTTTTTATGGTGATTTGTTGCTTGACCATGTGCCGCTGCTAGTGCGGTGTGCCATCAATTGCTTCTTAGAAGTTTTCATCGAGTCGCTTATCTTTTCCTTCTCTCTCTCTCTCTCTCTTTGTAACATTGTTGTTGTTGTTGTTGGGACGTGGTTGGATCCGATTTTGGGCCGACGTCTGATAACGATGTATGCCCACTTACTTAGAAAGTGGACCATGCTGATGTGAGCTATAGCTTGTGCCTGCCCTCCATGAAAATTTCTTACCTTGACTCTGTTGCATCACAATTAGCGGCTGTTGAAATTCGGGTTCTGCGTAATTCGTTTGGTGTTGACATACAACTCACATGATTATTCGATTGTGATTGTGTAAGAGTGTCTCTGCCAAAAAAGAAAGAATTTCTTTTTGCGGTTTCAGGATTAGAAAATGATTTTGGTGTTTGTCCTATTGCTTGTAGATGCTAACAACCGGAGGGAACCGGACCAGTAGCTCATTTCTTTACCCATGTGCTTATTTGTATTCTCTAATAAGCCTTTGTATGGTTATGTACAGATTGGTGACAGATTATCTTGGATTCTTTTGGCTGCTTGTGCTCCTTCTTGTCTATTCATGTTAGCCTGCTTTCTCCGTTGTCCGACTCAGTGTCTTTTTTGCAATTTGTGCTTTTAAGGATCTTGTTTCACAGGACACCCGGCTAATCTTTGTAGAAGACATATTACAAGTTTCGAAACATGCAGAGTTTACCTTTTACACTTTTCTAAAGCTCATTAAGCGTAACTCGGGTGCCTGTTAACTGCATCCTATTTATAAAGGCGTGTCAATTTAATAAAACGTTTTTAACTCACCTGACCCTTGTAATTGGGATGTCGGCTAACTCTTTCTTTGTTTGAATGTACCCTTCGCCAGCATTTGTTCCATTACAGAACCATTGAAGACTTTCTTGTGTCTGTTTTCTGAGGCATTTGCTGTCATTTGTCTGCGTGATGAATTTAATAGCATAAATGCGCGTTTTTGGAATCTTCTCTCTTCAACACCAACAGATGCTCTCAAATGGATAAGTTGCGGCTCGCCACTTTTCAGGATAAGGATCATGTTATCCGACTATATGTCCCATGGATCCGATATTTGCAAAGTGACGTGTGGGATGATGCTCTATGCCGGATATGAGGATGTGAAAATTTTGAAAACCCTGTTCATGTAGTTCATTCTGTGATGACATTGCACTGTTCATTACTGATCAATCTGATTAGTTTCGCTTTGGTTGGTGGTTTCGCCATTCCTCTGCAGCTAAGGATAAAAAAAGACTTAATTGTGTTATAACAGAGAACTTCAGACCATTTTGACAAGTTTGTAATCAACAGAGCTAAGTAATGTGGTTTCGTATTTGTCCAATGACACGAGACTGATCTTTCTCTCCTTTTCTTTTTTCTAGGAATAGAAGCTCGAGGTTTCATATTCGGTTCCCCTATTGCCTTAGCGATAGGAGCGAAATTCGTTCCCTTGAGAAAGCCTGGGAAGCTGCCAGGTACATTTCTAATGACAAAATGATCTGGTAAAACTAACTGTATTCTTATATATGTTGAATTTCATGATCAATATCGGTTGTGTCTGCATCTCTTTTTAGCCATTAGAATTAATAATTCCTTTTTTTACCAAATAATTTCATGATAATGTATAATTCGAAAGGTTTTGTTATATTAGGCTGCCCCTGAACCTGACGACAATAGTCGGTGCCACGGATGAGCATTCTCTTTTATTTGCATTAGAATTATGAGAAATAGAGCTGTCTTTTGGTCTTCGAGAAATGTAGCATGCACATTATTACCTTCTGCTAGTTACCCAGGTTTCAAATTTATTTATTTACACTGTTTCATCTGGAGCAATCCAACAGCTGCACATGTTTACGCTGCATTCTGTTCACATTGCTGTGAATATTTTGTCAGTCTTTTCTTAATTGACTGTCATGTTCTAATCAGCATCCCATGCTCCTGTGGGCTCCTGGGCTTACGTTGAGGCTGCATTTTTCTCAGTAACCATCAAGTACACATTTAGCTCTGTAAAGGTTGCTGCTCCTTGCTCTCTGGCATTGAGAAGATCTAAGAACACAATGAATTTGTCGTCCTGCATGCTATTAAACATTCTTAAGCTGTATAAACACCGCAAATCTAATACCATCTTGGAGTTGAAATTGCTTAATGCTGAGAATGAGCATGTTCTGCATATACAACCGTGTTGCCAGTAGTCATGATAAAGATTCGTCTAATGTCAGGTGAGGTCATCTCAGAAGATTACGTTCTGGAGTATGGAAAAGATTGCTTGCAAATGCACGTCGGGGCAGTGCAACCTGAGGAACGAGCTTTGGTGGTCGATGATTTAATTGCCACCGGTGGTACCCTCTGTGCAGCCATGACTTTACTTGGTATATATTTCTCATTGACGCGCTACATTACTTGCGGGGAAAGGTCTGTGAATTTGGGCAAGAGAAGTAATAGTGTCTCCGACTGAAATTTCTTATACCGAAATGATTCGATTATGTCTTTTGGATGGTTTAATTTACTCTTTTGTGCAATAGTGTCAGTTTGATGTGGAATGTTTTTTTCCCCTTTTAACTTGTTATGGTGGTAAGGGCAAGCCATCTAATATCAGTTGTGTATAATGTTCCTCAGAACGCGTTGGAGCCAAAGTTGTCGAATGCGCTTGCGTGATTGAATTGCCAGACTTAAAGGTGCGCATATCGCATTAGACCTGCGTACCTTTTTCAATTATCAATCTGTTGGTTGATCAAACAGTATCTACCGCTTCCAGTTCCCATACAGTCTTCTCATAGCCGGGTTGCATTTTCTGAATCTACTCGAATTCTGATTTTCTCAGGGTAGGGAGAGGTTGAAGGGAAAGCCTTTATATGTGCTTGTGGAGTCCCATTGATTCTAGCAGCGCGTGTGTTGCGCCCTCCTCGTTGAAACCTTCTTAGACGTACATTAGAGCAATATTGGTTATTGATCACTTCTCATCGGGACTCCCGATCTCGTCTTTGCTCTCTTCCCACCATTGCTGAATTTTGATCGACCTTGGTGATTCATTCGGACCAGTATCGGTAACTTTACCTGGCAAGATCCACGAATGTCGTATCGAAGAGCTTGTTTGGTTCGTGGGTACTTTTAGCTACTGTTTGTCAGGGCAAAAAAATGTATCGACCTAAATCCGTCATCCCAGGTACTATCGATTCGGATCTTCTTATTTGTGGACCGCAGCATTGCTGAATCTCATCTCCAACCTTTGTTGACTCGTAAAATTATGTGGTATCAATTTATGTCTCTGAAATACTGCAATCAACTGTTACTTGGCATTTGATAGTGTTTTTTCTGGGTCAGTAGCAGCAGCAGCAGCAGCAACCTGCTAATGCGAGATTATCATCCCGATCTGTATGACGAGTTGATCAGGCAATGTGAGATTAATTCGGCAAAACCGATCATCCTAACCGGCTAATGCGATATCATAGTCCCAGTTTGTTGATCCTAGGCGGTCTTAAAAACCTTTACCCAGGTCCGTTCGCGAACTAAAAGATCGATTTTTTTTTATAGAAATGATCGAGCCTGTCTCGAGAAGGAGATGATGTGCCCAGACCCGTCAATCTAAAAAAAAAAAAAAAGGGATATATTCACTAGAAGTCCTAAAACTTGTCACGAAAGTGTAATTGAGTCTTAAAAATTACAAAAAGTGCAATCAAGTCCTCAAAGTTATCAAAATCGTTCAAATGAGTCCTAAAGTTAACACCGTCAAATTTATTAACGGAAAATGCTAATGTTGCGCTAACGGGGCTTATTTTAATATTTTATCTCTCATATGTAGCTAAAACGACGTTGTTTTGGCTTAAATTTGATTTTTAATATTAATTTTATTTAAATTAAATATAAAAAATAAGCGAAACTAAAAATTAAAAAGACAAAAAACAAAAAAAAAAGGGGGAGGAGGACAGGCAGGGAGGGAAGGCTCCCGCCGCCGCCGCTGCCGCCATCGCCAAGAGGGGCCGGCGAGGGTGGGGAGACGGCAAGCAAGGTCGTTGGGCCTTGGCCAGGGGCCGGTGACTCTCGCCAATGGCAGGCGAGGGCCTGTGGGCCCTCGACCAGACCTGGCCAACCCCTTCCACTGACGGCCCTAGGCCAGATCTGGGCGAGGGCTGGCGACCCTCGCCCGATCTAGGGGAGGGCCGCGACCCCTTGCCTGTCGTCGGCGAGGGTCGCCGACCCTTGGCCGTGGCCCGGCAACCCCCACCTACCGTCCTCCCACCCTCGCCGGGCCCTCCCGGCGATGGTGGGGCGGCGGCGGGGGGAGGGCAAGCCCTCCCTCCCCGCCTGTCCTCCTCCCCCTTTTTTTTGTTTTTAATTTTTAATTTTGCTTATTTTTTTTACATTTAATTTAAATAAAATTAATATTAAAAATCAAATTTGAGTCAAAACGATTTCGTTTTAGTCACGTAGGAAAAATAAAATATTAAAATAAGCCACGTTAGCATTTTCCGATAGTAAATTTGATGGTGTTAACTTTAAGACTCATTTGAACCATTTTGATAAGTTTAGGACTCAATTGCACTTTTTGTAAGTTTTAGGACTCAATTATACTTTTATGACAAGTTTTGGGATTTCTAATGAACATATCTAGAAAAAAATTATCCGGTCTAGCAAACCGGCCCCAAGTCACCATCCAAACCAGCACATTCGATGGGCGGGTCTGTCGGACCGACAAGCTCATGATCAGGTCTTGAAAATACACCTTTCGGGCCTACGATTGCTTTCCTTCGTATCCGCTTGATCAGGACCTGTGAAGTTTTACTACTGGACACATTTTCTTCTGTTAATAGTTCGAACACTTTAGAGGGTACGGCGTTTGACTATCTCGCTCTGCAAGAGTCTCATCAACTTTCAATTCCCTTCGAAAGAGATTGGCCTGGCCATCACTTGCTGCACATGCAGGGAATTACATTAACATTATCCTCATCCACAAATTAATCCTTCACGAGAAAGTATCATGCCACTCGAAGTCCAAAAGATTTTTCCATACAATGTTATCTTCATCGCGAGCGCAGAATGGCCGAAAGAATATTTAAAGCGAATACCATCTGCATAAAATATCATGAAAATACGAAGGAGACGAAATGTTGCGGGGAGAGCGGCGATAGGTTCTCTCCGGTCCTCGTATGGGGCGGCGCGCTCATCGTGGGTTAAGTGTAGTAGAATTAGGATCCAGCGTATTGGTCGCCGGTCAATCGATCGTGCGTCGGAGATGGCGATCGACGGATGAAAAACCGGGGTCGAGCCCTTAAGCAAGGACTCCACCACCCATCACGGAAGAAAAGCACGGGTAACTTCGGAGCAGGTAGGGTTAAAGAGAAAAGGCAAGCTGGCTTTTTGCATGAAGAGTGCTTTTCTAGGACCGCTCATTCAAAACTTGGACCAGGGGTTCTGGTTGGCTAGAATACCTGTGAATAATTTCGATGGCTTCTTCCACAACATTTGATCAAACACTCGTTCCGAACTCGAAAACCGGCGAGCCTTGGCCTCGTCTCGAACCTTGAATCGGGTCCGATCCGAACGGGCAAATCTTATTCGTGTTATTCGATCGGCTATTTCGAACAGGCAAATCTTATTCGTGTTATTGGATCGGCTATTTCGAAAATCGAACGGTCTAATGAAACGTAGCGCGACCAGATACCATAGAGATCAGACGAACCTAAGTAAGTGTACAAGGCCTGGGAAGTCTGCACTGATATTCAAGATCTGCATTTTCACTTCACACTCGTCGTCAAACCTGATTCGTCCATCAACTTTCCTTCAATCCCATACGATCAAATCCTAAAAGGAAGAAATGGGAACAGAAAATCGAGAACTTCCCTTGGCAATAATGATAGGAGAAACATGGAATGCAATTAAGAAAAATCAATTTTACATAGCGAAAAAATTTGTGGGACATGATGGTTTTTTTTACAACCTATAGATGATGAGGAAACAGGGCAACACCGCCCGAGGATCGAACACTAGCAACTCGCCGTCGTCCCCGCTCACCGAGTCGTACGTGACCCCGCCGCCGCCGCCGCCGCCGCCGCCGTCCGGGAACGGGTCGAGGATGAGCTTCTTCGAGGCCCGGCCGGCGATGACCCGGCACACCAGCATTGCCCTCCTCCCCCTCCCTCCCCCGGCGCTCTCGTGGGCGCGGCCGCTGCCGTCGAACGTGCAGATCGCCGCCCCCTTGCCGGCGCCGCCGCCGCCGCCGACCCCCCGACCCCCCACGCCCCGCCGCAGTCCCACGCGGGCCCCTCGCGCGCCGTGGAGCCCATGCAGCGGAACCGCATCACCTCGTTCCCGTCCGCGGCGCACCGCGCGTCCTCGTCCCGGGGGCCGCCCGACCCGGCCCGCTTCTTCACCAGCTCCCGGTACTCCTCGAACCGGGCCGCCGTCCGCTGCCCGTTCTGCACCTTGAGGATCACGTCGACCCGGCCGGCGAACGGCTTCGGCCCCCAGCTCGTGTGGAAGATGATCTCCACCACGTTGCGCGACGGGTGGCCCTCCGGCAGCTCGGTCAGCGACGGGTACGCGGGCTCCGCCGCGGCGCCCGCACGGGCCCGGGGCGTCGCGCCCGGGCGCGCCTCCTCCGCCTTCGCCGCCGTCCTCTGCGGAAGCCTCGGCGCGGGCGCGGGCGGGGGCCTGGGCTTCTTGGGTCGCTGCTGCTTGGCGATGTCGATGACGTCCTTGATGGTCTGGGCGCTCTTTCTGCAACTGGAAGAGTAGAGCGAAGAAGAAGAAGAAGAGGAAGAAGAGGAAGAGGTAGAGGTGGAAGAGAGCAAGCGTTTCTGGTACTGGCCGTGATGGACGTCGTCGAACGCCCTGGACTTGCAGTGCAGCGACTTCACCCACCCCCCCGCCATTGACGACGGACCCCGAAGCCGGATCCTCCCCCTCCTCCCTCCCTCCTCCTCCTCCTCCTCCTCCTCCGCCGCCGCCGCTAAAGATCGAAACTTTCTCTCTCTCGCTCTCTCTCTCTCTCTCTCCAGAAATGGCGATGTGCGAGCTCTTTCTCTAGAGAGAGAGACAGACAGACAGTGTGGGGAATGCGGAAGAAGTCGTCGGGGTCGTCGTGGCGCGACGATAAAAATGATGTCCTCTCCCCCGGCGCCCGCGAAATGACCGGAATGCCCTCGCGCTGTCGCTGCTGCTGTTTATTGTCGTTTTCCCCCGTCCTTTTTTTTGTTTTGTTTTGGCCGTGAGTATTAATTTTATAATGTCGTCGCGCGTCGCTCCGTTTTTTTTTTAACTAATTTTTGTTTTTGTTGGGGGTGCGACATGGAGAAGAGAACAAATTCCATTTAAGTTTAGTTTAAGGAAACAGAAATTCATGAATGATTCTTGGCATTTGCCTTTGTGGGGGGGGGGCGTAGATCTCGATTCGATGTCGACAGTGTCGCTACGTTCCCACCGTTCGAATTATTTTTGTGATTATGATGCACCGATAGAAATTGATAATAGTTTCGGGTAAATCGACATTCATCTAGCGTTGAGCGAGCGTGCATTTTTTTTTTTCCGGTTATAACAAATGAACCTTCCGGTATGAAACGAAACTGCATAACGATTACACGTTTTGACTTCGTATTCGGTAATTGATTAGCACTGCTAAGTGAAAATGGACATATTGATTACATAAAGATATATGAAGTGAAAGTCTATCCTTTTTATTATTTCGAGTTATGAACTAATTTTCACTATTACATAAAGTAAAGAAAAGCTCCCCCTTTGACGGATTACGGTCATTTTTTCTTCCCGAAAATATCCTCATTCGGTTGTTTTATAAATAATCTTTCGATGGACAAATGACGTAAAGTATAATTCTTTTTTTTTTAAATCACCGGTGCATCTCAATTTTAAATCTTGATTTTTTTCTCTAAATTAAAAAACCTTATTAAAAAAAGCTCAAAATCTTAATACATATTTACATTAATTAACCCTTTAAACATTTGGTGATAATACAATTTTGCAAAATCTTTGAAATATCATTTTTGTGCTTATGCGGGACGCATGTGCACTTGCTAGCATATTTGTCTTGTTATGAAGCTCGCTCACGCGGTATTCTCACGAGAATAGCTACGTGATCTATTTATTATTTTCTCAGGAATATCGTATCAAAATGATAGAAGAATCTCACGTCTCTACATTTATATATTGCTCCTATTTTTCTGTAATTTTCATAAACCGATAATTATCATACACATTAACTCAATGCTTGACTGGAAAACATTGAGCATAACATGTTTCACATACTTTTCCTTTAAAAAAAGATAAGA